AATAATGACAATTCAATAATACTAATAATTAAATGCATAAATTGAAAATGCTATCATCTTGATATTGATAGCAGATGCTTGTTTTTGGGATCCACCCAAAAACTGCAAAAGATCTGCAAAAGCAGATAACTTTATCCTACCCCAGTCTTATCTTCACAGCCGATACACACCTAGAATTTTGCCAGCACAACCAGTTCTTTACAGTATCACAAGCTAAAAGTAACACAGCCACCTGGACGACATGAATAAGCCATATCTCAGCACCAGAACATTGTACAGACATGTTTGTTGGCTCGTATGCAATCATGTACCACAGTCTAGCAACCGAGTGGGGAGTTTTGCCATTGCAAGCACCACTTCACATTTTAGATGCAGATCATAGATGCACTTTTATGATGGACAGATGCACTTTTATGATTGATAGATGCACTTTTATGATGGATAGATGCACTTTTATGATGAACAGATGCACTTTTATGATGGATAGACGCACTTTTATGATGGATAGACGCACTTTTATGATGGACAGATGCACTTTTATGATGAACAGATGCACGTTTATTATGGATAGATGCACTTTTATGATGGATAGATGCATCTTTATGATGGACAGATGCACTTTTATGATGGATAGATGCACTTTTATGATGGATAGACGCACTTTTATGATGGATAGACGCACTTTTATGATGGACAGATGCACTTTTATGATGAACAGATGCACGTTTATTATGGATAGATGCACTTTTATGATGGATAGATGCATCTTTATGATGGATAGATGCACTTTTATGATGGACAGATGCACTTTTATGATGGATAGATGCACTTTTATGATGGATAGACGCACTTTTATGATGGATAGACGCACTTTTATGATGGACAGATGCACTTTTATGATGAACAGATGCACGTTTATTATGGATAGATGCACTTTTATGATGGATAGATGCATCTTTATGATGGACAGATGCACTTTTATGATGGATAGATGCACTTTTATGATGGACAGATGCACTTTTATGATGGACAGATGCACTTTTATGATGGATAGATGCACCTTTATGATGGACAGATGCACTTTTATGATGGATAGATGCCCTTTTATGATGGACAGATGCACTTTTATGATGGATTTATGCCCTTTTATGATGGACAGATGCACTTTTATGATGGACAGATGCACTTTTATTATGGATAGATGCACTTTTATGATGGACAGATGCACTTTTATGATGGATAGACGCACTTTTATGATGGACAGATGCACTTTTATGATGGATAGATGCACTTTTATGATGGACAGATGCACTTTTATGATGGATAGATGTACTTTTATGATGGACAGATGCACTTTTATGATGGATAGATGCACCTTTATGATGGATTAATGCCCTTTTATGATGGACAGATGCACTTTTATGATGGACAGATGCACTTTTATGATGATAGATGCACTTTTATGATGGACAGATGCACTTATGATGGACAGATGCACTTTTATTATGGATAGATGCACCTTTATGGACAGATGCACTTTTATGATGGATAGATGCACTTTTATGATGGACAGATGCACTTATGATGGATAGATGCACTTTTATGATGGATAGATGCACCTTTATGGACAGATGCACTTTTATGATGATAGATGCACTTTTATGATGGACAGATGCACTTTTATGATGGATAGATGCACTTATGATGGACAGATGCACTTTTATGATGGACAGATGCACTTTTATGATTGACAGATGCACTTTTTTGATAGATAGATGCACTTTTATGATGGACAGATGCACTTTTATGATGATAGATGCACTTTTATGATGGATAGATGCACTTATGATGGACAGGTGCACTTTTATGATGGACAGATGCACTTTTATGATGGACAGATGCACTTTTATGATGGATAGATGCACTTTTATGATGGACAGATGCACTTTTATGATGGATAGATGCACTTTTATGATGGACAGATGCACTTTTATGATGGATAGATGCACCTTTATGATGGATTAATGCCCTTTTATGATGGACAGATGCACTTTTATGATGGACAGATGCACTTTTATGATGATAGATGCACTTTTATGATGGACAGATGCACTTATGATGGACAGATGCACTTTTATGATGGATAGATGCACCTTTATGGACAGATGCACTTTTATGATGATAGATGCACTTTTATGATGGACAGATGCACTTTTATGATGGATAGATGCACTTTTATGATGGACAGATGCACTTTTATGATTGACAGATGCACTTTTATGATAGATAGATGCACTTTTATGATGGACAGATGCACTTTTATGATGATAGATGCACTTTTATGATGGATAGATGCACTTATAATGGACAGGTGCACTTTTATGATGGACAGATGCACTTTTATGATGGATAGATGCACCTTTATGATGGACAGATGCACTTTTATGATGGATAGATGCACTTATGATGGACAGGTGCACTTTTATGTTGGACAGATGCACTTTTATGATGGACAGATGCACTTTTATGATGGATAGATGCACTTATGATGGACAGATGCACTTTTATGATGGACAGATGCACTTTTATGATGGATAGATGCACTTATGATGGACAGGTGCACTTTTATGATGGACAGATGCACTTTTATGATAGATAGATGCACTTTTATGATAGACAGATGCACTTTTATGATGGATAGATACACTTTTATGATGATAGATGCACTTTTATGATGGATAGATTTTTTTGAGCTTCAATCTGTTGGCTGCAATTCATTGCCATTCACTGCTCGAAGGGCCAGGGTGTTTATTAATATAACTCTGATCGTATTCGTTTGAAAGAAGAAAGTCACATTCATCTAGGATGGCTTGAGGGTGAGTAAATCATGGGCTAATTTTAATTTTGAAATAAACTTCTTTAATAGACCTTTCAGCCACTTGCAGATTAAACCACACAAAGCCCATTAACATGCCAATCCCTCTCAATAACCTCTTGTAGCCTAGAATTATTATAATTTTTTATCAACAGTCATCCATTTATTTTATGGATTAATATTATTATAAGGTATTTCCGAATCATGTTATGATTTTTTAGATAGATATATTACAGTTCTAAAAATTACAGTTTTATTATTGTTTTTATTTTGTAATGCTACTGGTGAATAATAATAATAATACAAATTGAAAGTTTTTAAATTTTCTTTAAGGGAAAGTAATTTTACTTGTGAAATGGTTTAGTGACGTAAGTTAGTTTACCCGGGAAAACATTTAGGCGCCATCCGCGATGAGGAGATGCGTTCGTCATTCGCACGAGCAGATCGTCAGAGTCAAAAGTCAACAAGCTTGCTTTATAAACTGTTATCTTTTCAATTTGTAAAATGTTGACCAATTAAACAAAATACTGATAGCTATGTACAGACCAGCAAATTGCTAACTTTCATCTGTTGCTTGCTTGTAGGATATTTCTTTTCTTTTTTTTTTTACATTTTACTTAATCTAAAGAATTAACGTCAAATTGCTGTTGTCTTTTAATAGTGTGTAGGCCTACTTTTATTATTATACTTTAATATATGGTCTATATTACATATGTGTGGCATAAAATTTTATTCAAATGACAATAATATTGTGTATCGCGCATTAGCCCATTTCTGAGACAATATCTCACAACAAAAAGCAGTTATCGTGACAGGTAGTGAGCATTGGCTTAAAGTTAGCGTTACTGTTTAGCTAACCGAAGTATTTAGGCCTAACTTAGCTGCTACTCGTCGTCTTCGTGCTTTTTCTGTGCACCATTTTGCGCTCTGACTTTTTTATTTGCTCTAGAACAGTGGATTGCTGCTTTGAAATCGAGTACATTTGGATTTTTATTCTTCCAAACTGTAATTTTCTGGAAACCCGTAATGTCTCGAATGACGCACTTAATTTGCACAGTCTGCTGATGACCGCTCTGTGTGAGGTAAGTTAATTTTTCCCGAGGCTTTCGCCTCCGACACAGAGAACACACGACACGACAGCATGCTCTGCAAAATGTTTTTGACATTCATAATCATGTAAACATAATTGGCGATATATTTTGTCACCAAACATTATTAAGTCAAAATTGATTATTGCGACAGGCCTAATGCTCGCTAGTTGCAGTTAATTTCTTAAGACTATTTTCAAAAATGGCGACAGAAGAACCGCATGCCTATTAAAAAATGGCTAACTCTACTAAATTGTTATTAATACGTATTTATTCATCCATTTTTTTTTTTTTTTTTCTTTTAGAGAAATTGATGTTGTATGTGTTACTAGTAAGCGTTATCTATGGCAGCAGCAGGTGGACATTGATTGGACACAAACAATATGCTATGTCACTGTCATACAATCAATATTAGTCATTTAGCTTATGATTGTTTGCATTCTAACTTTTCTTTACAGAATTTAAATGCTAACTGGATGTCATGTCAAAACGGAAGCGAATTAGTCCTGTGGAGGATGCCATTAAACACATTCTGTCTGGCAAAGACAAACCATGCTTTGAGGAGAGATTCATCAATTTTCATAAAGGTTAGTAACAGTATTTTAATGCTTCTTTCATCCTATTCTGTAAGATAATGTAGCAGATAGGGAATGGTTCCAGAACCACATCCCCTCTTGATGTAAAACAGTTATCCACAAGTTTCCGAGGGACGCTCATGTAAAAAATAAAGTGGGCGCAACTTCCGGTGACGCGGCGGAAGTAGCATTCCAATGGTATTTTGTGTGGTAGTTAGCGAAGAGGCTAGCTGTTTTTGGGTTAATTATTTTACAATTTAAAGTTGCAAACTTTTATGAGAGATGTCATCACGGAGTTCAGGGACAACATGTGCTGTTCGCGGTTGTACGTATAACCGGACTAAACTTATCCAGTGGCTTAAACGTGAGTGTTTTGAGCATAAACCTAAAACAAAATCAGAGTGTTCTTGTCAACGACCGTACAGTTTCCATCACCTCCCAAAAGACGACGAATCAAGAAGAATGTGGCTGAAGAATTTAAACTTAAAAACACCACCAAAACAGCTGTTTGTGTGCTCATTTCACCTCGTGGATAAGAAGCCAACACATGATAACCCGTACCCAACGCTCTTTCTGGGTTATGAGAAGCCACCGGAGAAGAAGAGACGCCGACCCAGGATTCGACATGGCACAACAACAACAGGTAACATTAATCTAATGTCAGCTGGTGTGCTAGTTTTCTCTATGTTTTGATTATTATTATTATTAATGTTATTGTAAATATCAGGGCACAATGGTGCACAGTGAAAGATGCTAATTTAATTTCCTCTTTTAGCTAACATTTAACGTTACAGAATATCTGTACTGAGAAGATTAAATAGTGTTTGTAAAGACGCAAATGCCCCCTAATTGTTTTTTCTGCCACTAAACAAATCGTTATTGAAGTACTAACCACACAAACCACGGACCACCACTGCTAAATATGTACTTGATTGTATTCCCTGCAGATGAGCCTGATTTGATGGATGTTTCTGGGGAGCCAGATCCTTCCTCACAGACCTTCCATGATGCCCAGACACAGTGGTCAGACCCAGCAATGGAGGACCACACCTACTCCAAAGGACCTACCATCACATGTGTTATGACAACTGCCCCATCCTCTAAGAGTTCGCTGTCTGTTGCAGATGTTGTTTTAAAGGATGATGCTGACTGTCTGCTGTACACTGGGATTCCACTGCTTGAATTCAGAACTCTTGTGTCGTGCTTGCAACATTTTGCTCCCACATCATCATCATTGTCAGCAGAGGACCAAATCCTGCTGACATTGATGAAGCTTAGACAGAACTTTGTTATTGCTGATTTAGCAAGACGCTTCAAAATGTCACCTGGTCAGGTCAGTAAAACACTGAAATTCTGGATAGACGCGATTGCTGAGCACACCCAGGATCTCATTCCATGGCTGCCTCGTGAAACAATAAAGTCCACCTTGCCACAGGGTTTTATGGACAATTTTCCAAACACAACTTGTGTAATTGACTGCACAGAAAGTGTCTTGCAGAAGGCTAAAAATCTGGACTCAAGAACTGAATCTTATAGTCACTACTATGCAAACAATACTGTCAAGTATCTAGTAGCAACTGCTCCATCTGGGATAATTATGTATATTTCAGAGGCTTATGGTGGCAAATGTAGCGATAGATTCATCACACAGAACTCTGGGTTTCTCGACCATTTGCGTCCTGGAGATGAGGTGATAGGGGACCGTGGCTTTACGATCAGAGATTTGCTAGAGGAACGGAAAGTTCGTTTGATCACCCCAGCTTTTACGCGCAAGAAATGCCAGCTGACAAATGAGCAGGTCACTCGCACAAGACGCATTGCTAATGTCCGCATACACATTGAGCGCGCAATCAGGCGTCTCAAGGTGTACAGAATCCTCTCTCAAACTGTGCCTATTCATTTTGTCCCTAAAATCGACAAAATACTAAGAATCTGTGCAGCACTTGTAAATCTGCGAGGGGAGCTTATTTCTAGAACATAGAAACTATATCTTACATACTCAGTGTGAGCTCAAATGTTCAGTTTAAAAGGTTAGTTCACCCCAAAATGTAAATTCTGTCAGTAATTACTCACCCTCATGTAGTTCCAACCCTGTAAGTCTTTCGTTCATCTTCGAAACACAAATGAAGATATTTTTGATTAAATCTGAGAGCTGGGTCCTCCGAGAGCTCCTCCAATGAACAAAAGTCTTCCGGGGTTGGAACAACATGAGGGTGAGTAACTGACAGAATATTCATTTAGGGGTAAACTATCCCTTAAAGCTCGATGGACTTTTTCTTTTAGTTGTTGTTTAATAGACTGCTATTTTCTTCTTACTTTGTACATTTGTTTAAATTCGTAATATTCTATAAATTCTCTCAGCATGTGATTGGATGTTCGGTACCTATGTTACAACCAAACTCAGGATCAAAATCTGAGATGACAGAATACACTGTTACCACATGTACCAGTTAATGTATTCAAATGACACATTCATTTATAATTTTGAATAAACTCCAAAGAACAATGACTAAGTGTATTTTTTATTAAGTTTGTACTTCTTATTTTAATTGTTTGTCAGCTCACAAAACTGTCTGTCACCATGCCTTAATTCCTATTTATAATTAATAATATTATTATAATAATATATGAAAACAGTGTAAACCCTCCCACAACTACCCATTAAAGATCCGCAGGTATGTCGGACAGAGATTAATCTTCTTGTCAGTAAAATCATCAGCCAACCTAGGTAGCATGTGTAAAAAGTAAAAATTCTGCAGCTGTTGCACTTGTGCGTCTGTGTAGTTTTTGTCATATGGAATGTCCAATTCGATGTCCTCACTTGGTGTCCAGATGACCAGCTTGCAGCTCTGAAGGCCCAGACACATCATGGTCAGTTGTACCTGAAAGGAGGATTAAGAGTACATGTTTGTAAAAAGAATCTGAATAATTTATTCATAAGTTTAAAATACAATATTAGTCTGATAATAAAGCTTTTTTTAAAAAAATCACCTGAAGGTAGTATCCATCCTTTCCTTTAGGAAAAATCAGGTACTGTCCATCGCCTATTATTTTGATGTCACCATTTGGCCGTCCCAGAAATTCTGCCAGTGACGTGGAGCTCTTGAAGGGGCACTTGATCTCAAGTAGTTGCATTGAATCAAGGATCCCATCTGGGCTGGCTCCCAACCAAGGATGGTCAGGGTGCACGACCAGGCCTCTCTTCTCCACGGTATGCCCTCTGCTCTCCATGAGTGTGGTGACGTTGATCTCATTTTCTTTGCCATGCTGTGTTGCTGAATTGCCAGTGAAGGTTGGGTACAGATGCTCATTTAGAAATTTTTGAGGATCTGTGGTACTGCGTTTTGGGACTCGTTTTGCTGTGCTGGCTGTTAGACGCAGCTTTCTAGCATCATGCCATAACTGTGAAGCACTTTGCATCCTGGTTTCTTCCATCAGTACAGCCGCTTGTGCAGGGGACACTTTAATGTAGGCCTCATAAAACTCTGTGCACTTTGGACAGGTTAGTTTTGTGCTGTGTTCAGTATGACAGAGTGGATTACTGTTGGCTGGATCATGTTTGCTGGGGCCTGCCTTGCTGCTGTCTACATCTGCTCTGTAACTTAACTGAAGCAGCCCATTTGTCTGGAGCTGAAACAGTGGGGCCATCACTGATGAATTGCAGTGGGTTATGAACTCTCTGTGGTTCTTAAAAAGTTTGGGGGAGATTGTTGATTCTTGCGCTGAACTTTCTGATGGGCCTGGATATACGTGGTATGGTCTGTGATGGTTAAAATTAATATCCTTCACCTTCCTCATTCCTACATTCTTCTTCACACCAGAATTCCACTTCCTTTGCACATCAGTGCATGCCATCCCTGTCTTGCCCTGCCTGACTGCATTCTCAACCTAAATTGAATTACATTTTATAATCCAACAATCTTGGACTAAAAATTTCAAGTGAAGGCTGCTGTGCAGCAACATATGCAGAACACAAATGACACACAGTAAAAATTTCAGTTTAGTACATTTATTAATTAATTAACAATATCACAATACAGTGATACATTTTCGTGCCCTTAATTATCCTTATTTTACTGACCTTCCACAAAAGTGCTGCTGCATGACTACACGAGCGTCCTGGCCCTGCAATACATGAACAGCCCGCTGTCTGTACTTCACCTGTCACTGATGCTAGAACCCAAGCCTTGTGGTGTGATACATGTAGGCTCTGGCTCGGCTCAATGTCAGCTTTAAGATACACAAGTTCGTTTCCGACGTCCTTAAATAATACCCGGCCGACTTTATTACTGTGTAGATACTGATATGCCACCGAGCTTTTCAAATTGCTCATCGCTTTGCTGTCACAGGCTACTGAATCTACAAAATAGCTAAAAATGCTACTGTACGTGATACGAGGCCACTTCTTCATGTCATTCTCCCAACCATCTACTGCGGAGGGTAAAGGTAATGTTATTTCACCCTTTTTTATTTCGTTTAGGTTGTGTTCCCACATCGTTCGCTGAATAACTGTCAACTGTTGAATGAATGAATGAGTGTCAAGTTGCGCTTGCCGCTTTGTTTACATAGAACCGGAAGTCGCGCCCACTTTTGACGCAATTAAGGCCTCATGGGGCGTAGGAAACTTGTGGATATAGGCTTCAAAATGTATAAATTTTGGATGAACTTGTAAAGATTATCTTGATAGACAAAACGTGTAAGGGTCACAACTCTTTCTTAAACACAGATCTTATTTTCCAAAAGTCTATGGGGAAAAGGCATTGCTTCTCGACCGAGGGAACCCATGCGCCGCTAACATCTGAGTTGTCCTACAAAGTGACGTCATCACTTCGGCACTCTATTAACGCATGAGTCAACATCAACGTCATCTTTCTCAGCCACTCCCTCTGTTCGCTGATTGGCCTGGTAAAAAAAATTATCAGAGAAAACTAAAGTACAGGCTTGTCCGACTTGAACCAGCGCTGCACAGACCCAGAGTAGTTCTGAAGGAAATGAAAATAAGGCAGAAGTATGTAGGAGGTCGGAGCCAGGCTTTGAACTTTTCAATTTTATGAAGCAATGTAAGTGCTTTGTGTGCACATAAAACCACCAACATAATTTAACACTTAAATATTAAAGTTCAATGCGTGTTCATCCAACAACATTTGCTCCAACGTCAACACAACACGCATGCGTCATTAATTATTTATCTTAATACTTTCTTTTTTTTTGTAAATATGGAAAACAAAGCAATCTCGTTACTTCTGAAAAATTAGGTTAATGATGTCTTTTACCTTTCTGGGTCTTTAGATTAGATTTTAGATCCCTCAGTTTCAGAACAGCTAACTAACTATTTAGAAATACATCAGTATATGCACCCCCAACAGTATGGTCTCAGACAGAACCATTCCACTGAATCAGCTATCTGCGCATTATTGGAAAATGTAGTGCAGCCGCTTGATAAAGGAAACATCGTGGGTGCAGTATTCCTGGACTTAAAGAGGGCATTCGATACAGTAAATCATAGCTCATAAATCTTATCTCAAAACTGTCATCTTATAACATGTCACACCAGGCATTATCATGGTTCGAGTCATACTTGCAGGGACGAGAACAATGTGTAGTTATCGATCATGTAAAATCTGCCCCATGTAAAATTAAGACCGGAATCCCTCAGGGAACCATACTGGGGCCTATTCTCTTTAGCCTGAATGTGAATGAGCTGCCTGAAGTGTGTCCTGAAGTTGGTCTTCAGATGTATGCGGATGACACTGTGGTTTATGTTTCTGGCAAAAGCCCTACTGTTATCGGCAGTACACTGACCAAAAGTCTTGAGAAAGTGTCTAATTGGTTAAACAAATCATGTTTAACACTCAACCTGAGGAAAACTAAGTCTATGTGTTTTTCGATAAGAGCTCGGACAATAAATGACCTTAACATTAAAATGAATGGCGAACTAATCGACCAGGTGGAACAAGAAAAATATTTAGGAGTGATTTTAGATTCTCAGCTAAATTTTAAGAGTCATATCAAAAACATCTCAAGAAAAATGAAGGCCAGTATGAACTGTTTCAGAATGATCAGGAGCTGTCTAACACTGGAATGTGCTCATGTATTTCTGAACACTATGATTCTGTCCCACCTGTCGTACTGCACCACCGCTTGGTCGCAGACCAGTCAAACTACCCTAAAGCTGGTACAGAGGCTTTATAACCGTGCCTTAAAAATTTTAGATGAAAAACCCATTCGATTCCATCACTGCTATATTTTAAGTAAATATAAAATCTTAAATTTTGTCAATTTTATTAATTTCAGACATATTAATTTGTTTAGTAAATGTTTAACTGGACTTGCACCTGAGCCACTCTGTAAATTTGTGAACAGGCTCGAACCCTCCAGATCAACAAGAGCTACTAGACATGGAGACTGTAAAGTTCCATTTTTTAAAACTTCTTTTGCCCAAAATGTTTTTTCTGTGAAAGAAGCCAATCTGTGGAACTTTCTTCCAACAAATATAAAGACCTTAACTAAACTGTCCACCATCAAAAAACTAACAAAAGCCTAGTTCATACAGCAGCAGCAGTGTGATCATGCCATATGAAATTGTATATTGTTGTGTATGTGAGGTGTGTATCTGTGTGAGTTTGAGTGAATGTGTTTATTTACTCATTTTTATTGGTGCTAACTGGTTTCTTGACATTTTATTGTATTTACTGTCTTTTTTTTTTTTCTTTTTCTTTCCTGTGTTTCTCTTGATTGTTAAAAGCCCTTCTAGGGACTGGTGTTGCGAATTAGCCTTGGCTATAAACACTATGATACAGGCATCGGATTGTTCTTTATGTAATAATCTATGTTTTTTTGTATCATTTTTTGACCTGTTGCATGTGAAACAGACAGAAATGCCAAGTATAATACTTGACTTGTCTTGACAGGTTTTTATGGTTTTTATTTTTTTCTTATCTCTTGCTTTTAATTAGCTAGTAAATCAAATTATCTGCTGAA